ACCTCCCTTGTACACCAACGTGTCAACAAGGATGCCATGCAGGCCACCTTTGAGCTGCTTAGTGAGCACGAGGCATCCATAAACATGTACGGCCTCTCGACCACCCAAGTAATGACACTTGTCAGCGAGTGTCTTGACTGCTCCATCTTCAGGTGGTCTGGGCAATATTACAGGCAGATCAGAGGGTTGGCCATGGGTCAGCGGTTGGCACCAGTACTCGCCATCGCCTACATGTCTAAGATAGAGAAGCCGTTGTTGGACCGCCGACCCGCCCTATACTGTCGTTACATAGACGACTGCTTTGTCGTCTGCTCAACAGAAGAGGGAAATGGACACATGTTTCAACCTCCTAAACAACCAAGCTGCTAATATCAAGTTCACAAGGGAAAAGCCTAAGGACAGCTGGCTCCCTTTCCTGAACGTGCAGGTCCAGCTTGAGCGCGGGTTCTACCGTACCAAGTGGTACCGGAAACCCAGCAACAAAAACATTCTAGTCCATTTCCGGTCGGCGCATCCTATCAAAACAAAAAGTGCTATCACTAAGAACATGTTCAGAACAGCAAAAATGGTCTCTTCGGGCGACCAGGAGAAGAAGGAGTCCTTAGAGATGGCCGAAAAGATAGCGCTCTCCAATGGATACCCCCCAAGAAGAAAAGGCCCGACTGGACCTCCCACAGGAAGACGACATGGTCCAGCGATCGAGGATGGGGAAAAGGTAGCCTTCTGTCTACCTTTTGTGAGCGATGAGATCAGCTTGGCTGTGAGAACAGCTTTGCGCAGGTGTGGTCTCGAAGATCTGGTCCGGGTGGTCGAGGTCCCTCCCACAAACTTAAAGCAACAGCTAGTCCGTAACCGCTGGTATGACCGCGCTTGCCTCACCCCTAACTGTGTTATCTGTCCTAACGGGCGGGAGGGTGACTGCATGGCATCGTGTGTGGTCTACCTAATCTCATGTGCACTCTGCGGGGAGGAGTACATCGGGGAAACTGGGCGACCGTTGTGCACCAGGATCAAGGAACACCTAGACGGGCTAACAAGTCAAGGCCTGAGACCCCCCTGGGTGGTCATCGGATGCAGTGCCATGGAGGCGCGGAGTTTGAGGTCTCTGTAAGGATCTTGACGCGAGAGCCCCACACCTCAGCGCGCAAAACTTTGGAGGCCTTTTGGATCAGCGCTAAAAATCCAAAAATGAACAGGAAAGATGAATGCCTAGCCATAACCAGTGAACTCGCACCTTTCGCTGACCTTTGTGGGCTTCGAGCGCCATCGGCTCCATGCCGATGGGCCAGGTCATCTGGAGCCACCCACAGCGAGTCAGTCTAGCGGTGGTCTCAGCAAAATCCTACCGTGCGTTCTAAGGTGAGTTGACTGGTGTTTGTGATTTATGGCCCCCCTGGAGGCTACGGGTCTATGGGGACTATTTCGAAGTTTGAAATGATGTCTGCGGTAGGTCGCACTGATCTTTGACTTTCCAGGCTCTGACGAAGGCGACCAAGCCGAAACGTTAGCCGAATAAAGTTGTTGTACCATCTTGGCTTGTGGCTCCAGAAGCATATCCAAAAAGACCACACACGATGCCAAGATTTATCGAACGTCGAGCTCATGTACTACTGGTCAGGTGATTGCTCAAACAGCATCGTTGGACCTCAAAATGGTGTCGGAAAAACTGAATAAGATGTGGATAGGCAGCAAGTTGTGCCAGTAAAACCGCTGCTGGGAATCGAGTCGGGGGTGAGTTCTTCTATTCCTTGATGAAAATTCCAAGTTTCGAAGTAAATCACCTGAAATCGGTAACAATTGCTTTGGGTTTACTGTAAAGTTGATGGTTTAGTTTTTTCTTCTGCTTTATCGTCTTTTTGTTCCCTCCTTCCCTTCTTCTCATGTCTTCTTCGAGCTATCATCCAGGAGTTGGACTTGTCAGTTTGCGTATAGGAGTTAAAAGCAAAAGGATAAAGCATTTGCCGTTGATCAATCCCGTTTTGGGATGCGGCACGCATTCTACTTCCATTTGTACATTCGCAGTGGCGTTTGAATGCGATGTGGCCTATACAATGACTTGCGGGGGCCAGCCGATGTTCAAGTCAGTGTTTTTATCCTCCCAGACAAGTCTGGTACCAATTAACCGACCCCGGAGGGATGGAAGGCTTGGTTGGCCCGGGCGACTCACGACCCAGGATTTGATCCCGGACCGCTCGCGTGTTAGTGAAGCGGCACTTTTGCGACTACAACCGACTCGCGCCTGAATTGAAGGAGGGTTAATCTATAGAGAAAGGACTAAGAGGCATTTTAAGGAGATGGGGCAAACAAGGGGCGTCGGTCCCAAGGGATTTTTTAGACAAGGAGCAAGGGCGTAAGATTTATTCACACGTATCGAGTTCTTTATTTGAAGCTGAGGCCTATAGCTTGCCCTTTTGGGCAAAACCTTATTTTTTTTGAGTTTTGAATTTTGGGCCGACATTGCAGGGGGTTTTCATTCGATTTGGTGGTGTTTACGGTTAATTCTCTCAGGCTCCCTGTTGGTTTTTTTATTTTTGAAGATGTATTTTTCTTCATTTGGCTGATTTTTTCAAGATTGGGCTTCGCTTGCGAAGGGCCAGAATTTTCCAAGCCCTATCAATTTAATCTTAACGTTCACTCAAAACTTCTGGGGGGAGGGTCTTCTTTTTTACAAGATTTGATGTTTTTTGGTTAAGGGAAAAGGTCGTTCGGTAATAATGTTATGTAGAATCAAATAAGATTGCCTTTATTTTTGGAAAATATTTTCAGCTTTTCACTTATTAAGTCATGGAATTGTATTAAGTAATTTAGCGTGTATTGTGTTTTTTTTCAAAGGCCACTCTGCCGATGTCCCAGAATTATAACTCCACCTCATATTTTTTTATTTTTTTTATTTCCCAGGAAACTTTATTGTTGCATTCTATTTCTTAGAGAGGCACTAAAATGAAAAAGACTATCGGATTTCGAAGAATGTCAGTCTTGCATGATTGCTTCGCAAAAACTGTAGAACGAAGCAATCATGCGAGGTTCGGATCAGATTCACGCCAAGCCCAAGACATTCACCAGCGATTCACATTATAGGGAACTGAGAGGGGCTCCAAAGATCTCCCCTTTCTTTTGGGTAGAAACAAATGGCCGAGACAAGAGAAACATCCACTACTACGAAGCCGTGCTGTCATCTAATCTTCTTCAGAACCTAATGTCTCAAAGGACTATCCTAGTAAGTGCGAGAGAATCCCGAGTTCATCCTTAAGTGGAAAATGTGGAAGACACCATCTGTGGTAGGGAACCATAGCTAAAATTGAGCTGGTTTATGTGTGAATTTGCAGCGTAGCCGACTGGATTACGGTTCGCTTTGCTGCTATGCATTGAGGCTTGTCTGTCTTTCTCTTTACCATTTTCTTTCTTCCTGTAGTGCTTCGCGAAGAAAAAAGCTCTAAGGATGAGAAAAACACGAAAAGAAAAACAAACAAATGCTAAAACATATCGAGCAGAAGCGAACCTTACTTCAGTCGGCTCGTTGCACCTTCCTGTGAAAATCGGCTCCAATTTTCGCCATGGTTTCCTGTCACGGATGGGACCTTCACATTTCCCACTCGAGAATGAACTCGGGATTTTTTTTTCACACGCAATACAAACTAGTCCGTTCAGACATTAGGTTTTGTTCTTAGCCCTTATCATGTAAGCCTCTGAAGAAATCCTTGCGTGAATCTGGTCTAAATCTCGCATGGTTGTTTCATTCAACAGTTTTCCGACGGCCTGACCTTCTTCAAAGTCCGATAGCAGTTTTCATTATGCAGCTCCTCTAAGAAGAAAAATGATGTTAGATGTTAGCACAATAAAAATTTCCTGAAATAGAAGCACGAAAATTATTAGGAAAAAATCTTGTAATCTCAAAAAGTGGATATTCAAAGACAATTTCGCATTCGTGTTTGACACATTATCACCCTGGAAACTTTCTCCAAATTATCTGAACTTGTGAGATTTTGGGAAATTTCTTGGTGGAGTTATAATTATGGGACGCAGTGTACACTGCGTCGCTCCAAAGACATTAGGTTTTGTTCTTAGCCCTTATCATGTAAGCCTCTGAAGAAATCCTTGCGTGAATCTGGTCTAAATCTCGCATGGTTGTTTCATTCAACAGTTTTCCGACGGCCTGACCTTCTTCAAAGTCCGATAGCAGTTTTCATTATGCAGCTCCTCTAAGAAGAAAAATGATGTTAGATGTTAGCACAATAAAAATTTCCTGAAATAGAAGCACGAAAATTATTAGGAAAAAATCTTGTAATCTCAAAAAGTGGATATTCAAAGACAATTTCGCATTCGTGTTTGACACATTATCACCCTGGAAACTTTCTCCAAATTATCTGAACTTGGGAGATTTTGGGAATTTCTTGTGTAGAGTTGCAATTACGGGACGCAGTGTACACTGCGTCTCCTAATTATACAACCACATAGAAATTGTTCAAAATCTCGAATTCCACAAAGTTTATGGAAAAATGTCCAACAGGAAAACTGTGTCAAATTTGGTCGCGAATTCGAAAATCAATACAAAATTCCAGGTTGAAAATGCGAAAAAATTTTATTCCAATTTTTCCAAAAAGCGTCGCTTTTCCATCGTCTCCAAATGATACAGCCACCCCGTGTTTCTTCGTTGCATTTCATTTCTGATCAATGAAACTGATTGGCAGTACTCAATTGTTCTTTCTTAGGTTATCAGGAAAGGAAAGCAACTATTGGACTTTGAAAAAGGGGAAATCGTCACAAAATAAGAAAAATTAAGCGCCAGGTGGTCACATCGCGCGAAAATTTCGTCGAGCTACGGAATGATTAGCAATTTCTTTTTGAATCCTGTAGAAAATGGAACTTAGAAGGGCTCCGGACGTTATTCTTCTGCTTTTTGATTAAGATAAATGCAACATTATGAGAACAGCACCAAATTTCACCAAGGCGGGTTCGGAAATTGAGTCTTCTTTAGAACTTAATCTCCTACTGGATAGTGCTGGGAATGCAATAAACAACTTTCCAAGATCGTTCTCAAGCTGAATATGAAAAGGACGGTGATTTTGAAAAGAAACCGTCGCGAAAACCGAGTCATTTTTGCAGGGGAATTCCGACCAAGCCAACCGGAGCAGGATCCATTTTCGGCCTGTTGTGTTTTACTTCTTACTGTATCAACTGCGTCTCCAAATGATACAGCCACCCCGTGTTTCTTCGTTGCATTTCATTTCTGATCAATGAAACTGATTGGCAGCACTCAATTGTTCTTTCTTAGATTATAAGGAAAGGAAAGCAATTATTGGGCTTTGAAAAAGGGGAAATCGTCACAAAATAAGAAAAATTAAGCGCCAGGTGGTCACACTGCGCGAAAATTTCGTCAAAACTGCGGAATGATTAGCAATTTCTT